CTCTGAGCAAGAAGGCAGCCCAGACAGAATTGTAGTCTCATGAATATAGCTGGTACCTCTGTCTCCCAACTGTGGATCTGAGAAGGAATTTCCTTATCAGGCTATATTCTGGTGACCCAGCCTGGCCCTACTCTTTTTTTCTAAACTCCTTCCCTTTTTATGAGTCACTTAGATGATCACTTCTGACCAATCACTTAGGGAAAGGAGTGTCAGTTATTACACATGGATAGGTAAGTTACAGGTACTCGAGTAAGTCTCAGGACCTAACCTGACATGGCTTTATATTGAATAATGCTGGCTTTTTGGTGCCAGCTCATTCCATGCCCTAGCCCTTTAGGCACTACCAGTCTTAGCCCATTTAATTATTGGAAAAACCAGTCGTTTTTGCCTTGCTGGAAAAGAAATGTCTAAACTTCATGGTTTACCAGGTTGGTTGTTTACTGGATTCCCTATGGAGAAATCTTCTTTCCCATGGTCTTCCTGTCTTAGGTGATTTCTATTAGTGACTTCTGACATCTCTCTCTTGAATTTTATCTATACTTTCTAGAAGACATTGTGTTTGTGACAGTCTCTTTTTCGACTCTTGTCATCTTGAATCTCATTTATAGAATTATAGTCACCCAAATTAATGCCTTTATGGTATCAACATTGTAGCTTTTACTTGTGACAGATAATTAGAATTAAAATTGTATATAAATGAGAGTCACTAATCAAATTTTAAATTAGCCATATTACAGTAAAAGATTTTAAATATTTTCATGCATATCTCAGGTAGTCTTTTTTTTGTTTCTAATTTTTGCAGGTGAATAATAGGTATGTGTATTTATGGGGTATATGAAATATTTTGATACAGGCATGCACTGGGAAATAAGCACTTTATGGAGAATAGGGTATCCATCCCCTCAAGCATTTTTCCTTTGAGTTATAAACAATAAAATTATACACTTTAAGTTATTTTAAATTGTACAATTAAGTTATTATTGACTATAGTAACCCAGTTGTGCTACCAAACAGTAGGTCTTATTCATTCATTCTGGGTTTTTTTGTACCCGTTAATCATCCCCACCTCCCACCCAGCCCCCACCCAGGTAGTCTTTTTATCCATTCTAATAAAAACTTATTAAGCTGTATACTCATATGAAATTAAAACGTGACAATAAAGTGATAATCTTAGTTCCTTAAAAATGAGAGATCTATGTCCTAATCCTTTGAAGACTAGAAATAAGCTCTGGAGACCTCCAAAAGCTAATGAGATATACTCTTTGACTAATTAAACACAAGAATCAAAACCTTGTTGTGATTAACTGAGACCTAGAGTATTGACTGTCCCTCATTTTGGTTGAAAAATAAGATTGTGTCTCTTGAGTTCTTGGAAAACCTGTGGTTTTAAATGACAGATGGTGTTAAGATGCCCACTGGTTCCTTGGGTTGAATGAAGTGTTTGAGATTTTCAGACTTTTTGGCTTCTCTCTCCCCAGAGTGTCTCTATTTTGTTTTCTGATCTGGAAAAAATAAGGAAGGAAGAGGGGAGTTAGTAGGGAAAGGGAAACAGAAACAGTGAACCCCTATTACAGGATTATTCATTACCATGTTGGGTGCTGCTTTCTGTTTTATGTATGTTTAACATGAACTTTCCAAAACATTCAGCCTAGTGTAGTTTCTAAGAAATATTTAGTTGCAGCCAGACTGTCACCAAGAATCATATTCCCAGAAGGTTTTCAAATTGTATTTTTAAGAGTATAGTGGGCCGGGCGCGGTGGCTCAAGCCTGTAATCCCAGCGCTTTGGGAGGCCGAGGTGGGTGGATCACGAGGTCAAGAGATCAAGACCATCCTGGTCAACATGGTGAAACCCC